TTGTTGTCTTCTTTTATTTTGTAAATGAAAAAGAGTCATTTTGTATGTATTTAGTTTTGCTGGAGGGGATTTTAATATTCAAGACTGGTTTCCAAGGAAGCATAAATGCCTGCCTGCTTTCAACATGTGAATGGAATCCTCTACAATCTTGTCTTGACCTTTGACAATMATTCGAATAGTTGTCAAGACTAGAAATTAACGAATATTTTGATCGCATTTCAGATCCGAAGGAAAACCTCAAAAGGTATACCTAACATTCGACTGACTGACAAATTCATGAGTAGAACGAGAACAAAAAAAGGCTGAATTTGAGCSACAATGTGGGTAACTTTTAACATGTACTGATTTAAAACTAACACTCTTTGTCAAAAGCCTTGTAAGGTAAACATGGTCTACATTGCAAACAAGATTATCACACCAAGATTATTCATTTGCCTTACTAAACTCTAGCTCTTCAAGCGGATATGTTTGATTATTCGTATTGGTATCAAGATATTGTTCATCTGATCAAGTAAAGGTTTCAAAATGTCTTAAATTTATGGAATAGAATAGGATAAGACACTGAATGATATAATCCGTGCACATATGCATAGCAGTGTTGAACATCTTTTCAACGATCTTGTATCAGTACCGGTTTACGAGTGCATTTGGCCATTTAACCTGATTCATTCGTAAAGTGTTTTAATTCACTTACCTTTAAGCCTTTCTTTTAGTTGGACTTGGTGTCATTTGTTTCCCTAATGGATAATCCTAAGGGATGAACAATCTTCCCAAATAATTCAYCCTCAAGGATATCAACACACAAAGCATGACCTAAAAGGTTATAAATCTACATCTTAGAATGTTGGGTAAATTAATGTTCAACTGTTTCCATGCCAACGTACGTCAAGATGTATAATCCTTGTCGGCGATAGTAAATACGTCTATAAAACGACTTGAAAGCAACATTAAAATAGGGAGGAAATATTAGCTTTAGATTAATGGTACTGATATTCCCGCAGTGATGTTTTGTTCTTGCGGGGTGTTTTAGTTTTCTCGGCATTAGAATAAACAGAACTGATTCTTTTCCTAGTAGCTGAATTTATTTACCATATGACGTTAAACCATCAAACCATGGTCAAACACAGCTGTTGGGTAAAAAAAAAAATCAGCYTTCCCTCCCTCGGCTCTCAGTTAATAACCTTGGTGGGCGCATAGCGGGGGAAAAAAATATTTCAAAAGTAGTTCTATAGGAAATCCTTTAAATATAGCGATTTCCAACCAAATATCTAATATTACTCACACTGTACACTAAGATTATGTTTGACCAAAAAGTTGTATTAAACCTTAATTTATTAAAGCCTTTTTTTRAGTTGAAAATTACCCAGAATGCACCGGCATATTGATTTTTCTCTATTTCATTTGCTGAATTTTTGYAAAGCCCTAGCCTGTTTCAGTAGCGGACGAAATAGACGCCATCTCGAATATGTGCCCCTAAATATTTCAAAAAGGTTGTCATAGCCAATGGAAATAGGCGATAGTTTATTTAAAGRCAAAAATGAATTATGGGGCACACATCTAAACACAAATACTCGAGGTTTTACAAATCTCAACCCTTACCTCGGGCGTGTTCAGTAATGACGAAATTAAGAAGCATGCRCAGATACAACACAAGTTATTCCAGGGATTCTTTGATCTTGGAATGACCTATCAGTCCCTATTCCCCTTTATCGCCTTTAAAAAAAGAAAATAGGTGTACCGATACCGGGTTTTACCTGATTTTTAGTCTTGTTCACTGAAGAGAAATAAAAGGTTCAGAGAGCATGGCAAAATAATAAAGCCTACCTGAACCTGTATACCTATCCTCCTCGCGCCTAAATATATGGCAGGCACATAGGGCCTAATAGAGCTAAACAACGTGAGTTGAATCTGGACAAACATCATCAGTGCACTCGTATTACAACGTATAAGTATAACGTTTTGATTTCGGGCTGAATGTCGCGAATTGAATYTCTCCTATCACTGCTCAGTGATAGGTGGTATCCAAAAATCATGTGCGAGTCGTAACTGTTCTGCACATTTTGAAAGAAAAAATTTCTATAACTATTTTGGRTTGAAACCAAATTAAAATTCCCTACTAATGACAAGGACGTTTATCGTATATGTCGAGATTTTAGTGTCTTGGTGTAGAATATTGGRCATTTCAATTTCCCAAAAATCAAATCAAAGGAATATGGCTATTTCAATRTACTGCTGCAAATTCTTGATAATCGATTTCGCCATTGCAGTTTTTGTCCAGCAGTTCAATAAACTTGTGTATCTGTGCATCGCTCAGTGGCACTTGGGCTTGTTTCAAACCTTTGAACATTTCATCTGGCTCGATTGCTTTTGATTTGTCTTTGTCCATACTGTTAAACAAGTCGACAGCTCTGAGGCGTTTTTCTATCAAATAATTCTTTACGATTTGAAGCAGCGCATGTTTCGTCTTCTTCTTCTTGTTTTCACCATCTTCTATTCCTCGCAGGCTTTTTTCTAAGGGAGTATTTTCAAAAGCAATCTGAAATTCTTGATGGTTGATTTCGAAGTCTTCAGGTAAATCTGTTGGGTCTTTTCCAAGAATAACGTTGTTTACGTGCAGCTCTTCGCTCTCTGTTTCAGCATTGTTTTTCATTGCGCGAAGTAGAGCAAATGATCCAGCTCTTTCCAGAAAATTGAAACCCATTCTAAGAAGACGAAGAGTGTTATTCTTCTCCAGTCCCTTTGCGAGTTCCAAGGCTCCTCGTTTAGTTATTCGATTGTGGCTGAGATCAAGTTCAGTCAGGGTGTTGTTCTTCTTAAGAGCTTGTCCCATAGCTGCGGCACCTTCGTCTGCGAAGCCATTCCATGACAAATCTAGAGACGCTAATGATATGTTTTCTCCAATTGCCTTGCAAATAGCTATCGCGCCTTTCAGTCTTAAATGATTCCAACTCAAATCCAAGGTTTCCAGTGAGTCGTTGTCTTCAATCCCCTTAGCTAAGATTTCTCCCCCGGTTTCACAAAAAGAATTGTGGCTGAGCCTTAGATGTTTTAGGGTTGCGGTCTTCTTTAGTCCATAGGCTAATGAAGTCGCGTCTCTGTCATTGAATTCGTTAAAAGATAAATCCAGTCTTCTCAGGTAGATGTTTTCGGTCATCACGTTACTCATAGCAACTGCACCACGAGAATTGAGTGCGTTTCCCGCCAAGTTTAGCTCGGTTATGTAACAATTTTCTTTTAACATTACAGCAAAATACTCTGCTCCTTGATCCTGAATACCATTCTCTTCCAAGTTCAACTTCTCGACCGTAGTGCTCTTTGCTAATGCCTTCGCCAAAGCTTTCGCTCCTTGTGGTCCAATACCATGATGGGCTAGAAAAATKTCCTTATTTTCCATATTTTGAAGTAAAGAAGAGATCGGTGTAACATTCAGTTTTCTACAGGCTCGAAGATACGCTGCTTTCCCGGCCAAGTCAAAACTTTGTCTTCTTGGTCTCTGCTTTTCTTCTATTTCAGAAGGACATTCAAGGTCTGTATCCCAACCGCCGTCGCTGTCATCCTCGTTTGAACTATTGCCTTCGTCTTCCTTTTGCTTTATCCTGTGTATAAATGCTGTATCTTGCTCTTTGTCTTTCAGAATCTTTGCCATCCTTATTTCTCTTAAAGYTTCATTGACTCGCTCTAGCGTCTTTCTAATGCTAGATTGACTACTCGTATTTTCTTCAATGCTTGCCATGGCTTATATTATGCTTAGATTCTCTACCTAAAGGCAATACAAGTGAGATGCCAGGTAATTACTTTTTAAGTATCCACTCGCCACGCTGTTGCGTTTGTTTGGTAGTCCTGTTTATTCCATGCTCTACTGGATCCTATTCTTTCAATCCAAATAAAGGATTTCAAAACTAATTAACTATTTATCATCATTATCAATCCCACTAAAAATGAACCAAAAGCAAGTGTCTCTCTAGCTTTTCATTCATTCAAAATCTGTACAGGTAAACCATGGAAATAGTAAAAATAGTGTTTGCTTTTTCGTTGATTCTATTAGGGCTGCAATGATATATATATGCCAATATTTATAAAGACTTTCTATTAACAAGGGTCTAATTAACGTTCCACTTACTAATGAAGTGACAATAGTCTTGAAAAATAAAAAGGTCTGCGCAAAATGCGATGTTATATACCTTGGATTAACGCATTGTTTTGTTAACAATGAGGTATAGGATTTGCATAAAAAGTCTTGATAAAACAACAATTTGTTTCTCATTTTACAGTTAATTTTATTTTTTTCCGAATCATGCATTCTTTACTTTACCGTTGGTGTTTTTAATTATTTTCAATGTGAAATGAGGBTTAAAGTGCCTATAACCTTTATAGGATTATGATCAATTTTGATTTTCTGTGTGTTGGAGATGAATAAACAAAAAAAAATTTTTCGATTGACTAAATATTCTCGGAGATATAACGCCATAAAGTACGCAGTTTTGCCACGCCCCATCAATTTGGACGGGATAAAGGGAAACTGGGACCGAGCAGAGTCTCGCTGAGTGGTGACGTCACAACAAGAACGAATGTTTTGATAAGCAAAGATTCTTACTAGTTCTTCGGTCAGAATATGAGAAAATGCCGACTAGATGTGTTGTTGCTGGGTGCTCAAACACCCCAGATTTTACGAAAGGTATATACTTGCATAAGATCCCATTTCATAACGACAATCGCCCAGAAGCAAAGATGGATTGATTTTGTGCGGAGAAAGCAAGCAAATTTCAACCCCTCGGCTACCTCCGTCATATTTTCTACACACTTCCTACCAGATGATTATAATCAGAGATTTGATTTTATCTCGTAAAATCGTCCTCAGTTAGTAAAAGATGAGGTTGGGGCTGTTGCCATCCCAAGGATTTATGTCTGCAACCATGAAGAGCAAACCAAACTGTCGGATCGTAATCGCCGAAAAGTGTCGCTGGTCAAATCTCCAGGAATGTTTACTGGTTCGATAGGTCTAATTCCCTGATTTTATTTTTCAAACTGTTTAAATTATCTATTTTCCAAAGGTTTTAAAAGATGCAATTGCCTCCGTGTCTTCACCTAAAGARGTTGAGTTGCCGGTGCGAGAAGTAGTCGAACAACAACAATAATTTTAATCTAATACATTTGGTGGCTAGTTGTAGGGAAAAGTATTCTTTACTTAAACATAACATATACTTTATTTGTTGTATCTAAATTGTGTCAGTAACAGGTTTTATTGAGCAAAATATTGACTAGTTTTATTATTGCATGCATCTTTCGTAATATCTACAACATAGAATGATAATAAAGTCAAACTTTATAACCCAAATTTACAAAACACTTCTTGAGGGTTTTTTTGGAGGATGGGTGTTGATTCAGTAAGTCATATTTTTAAGTAACTATAAAACTGGGGCCAGCTATAACAATGAAAGAAACTAGCATGGAACTATTTGACAGGATAAAACCCAAGTGTCATAAACTTCTTCATCAGAATATTCCTGTTCGCCGGGATATCCACGAACGGCTTCGTCTAATTCTTCGTCCTCGAGGTCGTAAATACTCTCATTCTCGTCGCTTGAATCAAAGTATTCATCAGTATTATCAATGGATTTCATCTTACTGCCTTTCTTTGACAACTGGTTAATTTCAAAGATACAAAGAGGCAAATAAAGCGACCAAAACAGGTAAAAACACTGGAAGGAGCAGCCTAGCTCTACTTTGTTTTACTTATTGGAAGCCGAGTCGTTCTGGTTGTGACGTCATTCGACGCCAACTAGGTACCAGACCTCGCGATCCCGTCCAAATTGATGGGGCGTGGCAAAACTGCGTACTTTAGGGCGTTATATCTCCGAGAATATTTAGTCAAATGAAAAAAATTTTTTGGTTTATTCATCTCCAATACACAGAAAATCAAAATTGATCATAATCCTATAAAGGTTATAGGCACTTTAACCTGCACGAGTAAATAGTCTGTAATCAAAGAAATGCAGCATTCTTTTACGAATTCAAAGTGAAGCCCTAAATTGTATGTGTGGGTATTTTCTCCCTACTTTTTTCGAGTTTTCTTTTTTCTTTTTTTTTTTTTTTTTTCTTTTGTTTTTTGTTGTTTTTTGTTTGTTTGTTTGTTTGTTTGTTTGTTTGTGTGTTTATGTGTTTATTTTCTCTCTTTAAGACAAAATTATAGATGAACAATAGAGATAAGTTACATAGTTTTGGGTGCCTCACTTCAAAAAGTCAATCACTTTGATGGTAGGAGCATCTTTACAAGGAGGTAGGGTAACCCTAGTACTAGGGCTACAGTAGCTACAGTACATTTTCTTTTAACACCTTTACAAACGCACCCGGATTACCCTAGTGCTAAGGTTATCCTGTCTGTTTTAAAGGGAAACCCTTCTGCCCGGAATTATATTAAATCTCTTGTTTCGTACAAATAATTTAATAACTATCACAACCCAGCAAATGTCTGTCTGTTGTATTGCAATATTAACTGGTAAAATAGATTTTAAAGTCAAAGTTACTGCTAATATCTTGTGATATACCGTTTCGTTTGATTACATTTCTATCGTAAAGTTACCCCAGGCACTAGGGTTACCCTACGTTTTTTTCCTTGTAAAGCCGAGCTATCTAGTGACCCAAGCTGGTGGGTTAACTCTAGTACTAGGTTTACCGCTACCTGCTTGTAAAGCGGGCTAAGGGGGTCCTGACCTGATTATAGTCAAATATTATCATAATCAAAGCAATTAATCAATCAATCATGATCATTGCAGTACGAGGATCAAGTGAAAAAATTATTTAACTAAGTTTCATATAGTAATACCGTGATCACCTCGAAATCCTTAGTTTCAAGAGGAACGTTTATTGACGAAAATCGTCATTCATGAATAGAATGAGGGAATATTAGAACTAAACCTCCCTCATTAATGAAACATGTGATCAGGGACATTTAGTTACTAAATCTCTCTCATTCAGTAAAGAAACATGAAGTAGAGTGAGGGCATTTTACCCGTGAAATAAAAAATACTAATCAACGTGTAATAGTCAAATAGACACGAAAGAAAACAATGGAATTAAGACTATTTTTGTTTTCTTTTTGTGGTCGACGGTGTTGCATCTTCCTGGGCTCCAGTCGCCTCCGGAGTACCTCAAGGCAGCATTTTGGGTCCTCTTCTTTTTGTTTTGTTTATAAACGATCTTCCTGATGTCATTCCCAAGGAAACTACGGCTGCTATGTACGCTGACGAAACCAAGATATTTCATAAAGTTACTTCCCATCGCGACTGCGAAGACCTTGAGAATGCGCTGTCTAGGCTTAATGTTTGGAGCTTCAACAACAACATCAAATTTAATGGTTCCAAATGTAAGCTGCTGACAGTGACACGCAAGAAAAGTCCAATCTTGCATGATTACCACCTTGCCGGAAACGTAATCCAACGTACACAAGAGGAAAAAGATCTCGGAGTCACCATCACAAGTAACCTTAACTGGGACGAGCATATTAGAACCATCACAGCTAAAGCTAACAAGCTTCTTGGTATGCTTAAGAGGACATGCCCTCAACTGACAGATATAAGATGCAGAAGAACACTATACCTAGCACATGTAAAATCTCAGCTAGTGACTGCTTCTGAGGTATGGTCACCGAGCCTATCTAAACTAAAAGAACAGATCGAAAGAGCACAGCGACGTGCCACCAGATGTATCCTCAGGACCAAGATTGGGGAAACTACTTATGAGAAAGACTAAAGGACTTGAACTTGCTCCCTCTCTGCTATGATAGATTAAGGATCTAATGTTCTTTCATAAATCATTATATGGACAGACAAATGTTAATGTTCATGATTTTGTCAAATTCTCCAAACATAGACGTACTCGTCTTACTCAAAATCCTGGTATGGTTCTTGAAACATCTTTTTGTAAAACCACTACTTTTAAAGCATCTTACTTTAATAGGATAGTTTGCCTTTGGAACACCGTCTGTAAAGAGGCGCCAACTAGTGTTTTTTCTAGTCGCTCTCAATTTAAATTGTTTCTAAGGCATAGGTACTTTTCTTTGCTTGAGGACACATTTGATGTTGATCTGACATGTACTTGGTCATTAGTTCGTAAGTGTTCTTGTCATCGTACTCGATGATAACTGAACCTCAGATGCTTTTATTTGTTTGAACTCCATTGATTATTTTTTTGGCCGTTCTCGGTTCACTAGTTATCAATTTTTACTACTATAACTGTATTAATTTTCCAAGACAATTCTCTATTGATTTATATCGCTAGTCAAAAGGAAATGCCTAGCATGGGACCTAGAGTCCCGTTCGCACTTTCCGCTTTGGGTAGCATGTTGGTTCTGTAATTTTCCTTCCTGATTGACACCCAATAAAAGTTGTAAATTAAAACACGAATGCAAGTTAACCTTTTTTGATATGACTTTTAAAACCCACTCATAACCTAAAGTAAAAAATGTACTGTATTTTTTCATAACATTAGTTCATTTACTTTTTGAAAAAAGATTTTCAAGTTTTTAATGTCAGTGAATGGAATGTAAAAGAACAATATACATTGTTTTTCTTCGAAGAAAAAAGTTTCATAAACATTGAAGATATCTTGATTGTAAAGAAAGAAGCATTGGAATGCCACATTTGATTCGTTTTTAAATCCTGAATTGGAGCGCTTACGCGTCATTTTAAACATGAAGCGCTTTAGGAAACTTTCAAACTATTAAAGAGCAAAGGGAAATATTAGAAAATGCCGTACCTTTAAATGCAAACACTTTACTAAGTGGGCAAAAAAGACAGATCAAACAAAGATTCACTTGAACACCTCAATGCACAGTCGCTCAATTTGTTAAGTATTATTTTAGTACACGCTTGCATTTTCCCAATCAGAACTCCAGTGATGGCTGAAAATTAGTTCAATTGTTATTTGCGAAAAAGTGTTTGCACGCTGTTTTGGTGCTTTAGCAAAATTCGGAGAAATGATATGCATTCGATTCAGAGAACAGTGCGTTGCAGTGTTCCTTAAGCCTCTGCTAGCAGGAAAGTTTCAGTATGCTAGAAAAACGATRGCGGACAGCGAAGAAGAATTTTATATTACTCCGAACTGCTTTTTAGGAACTCTGCCTAGTTTAGACCTCACGAACATTGAAAAGTTTTTACTACACATGKATTGGAAATGGCCAGTGATTGCACACAAGCTTTTAAGGGACTGTGCAATAATTATCAGGGGGGGCTGAAAAATGAGATATATCAAGCAAAAGATTAGGCAGTACCCCTCCTTAAAAACAAAAATTTTAGTTCTTAATCAAATCTTTAAGTTATAAAACTTTTGAATAAACATTAGAATCATAAACATTACATTTTATACCTCGAAACTCTTTGGAAGCCTCTTGGGAACTCCTTTTCACTGTCACATTCCCTATTTCTGCGTTTACATTACCGTGGAACTGGCACAGTAAATAAATTAGAAAGCGCCGTTTAAATTCAATGTTCTAGGAAAAAAGATACATTACATTCTTTGGTCAAGGTCCCCTGGTACTTTAAAACACTTTAAAGGTTTCTGTATACACTTTTTWAAAAATAGGCTCCGCTTAGGTCTGACAATAAAATATTAGCCAAGGATAATGGATTTGGAGCTAAACAATACCTGCAAAACAAAAATCCTAACCCAGAATAGAGCCTCTAGTGCTACATAAAGAGAAAGACCCAAATAATCATATCATGATTAATTATATATCATCATCATCAATAACAACAACAGCATATGACTCGCAAAAATCTTTAATTTAAATGGATGGCATTTGTTATTATCTAGAACTTAAGAATAACATCCTAATATGAGATCCGATGCAAAACAAATTAAACCTAGTCCCTTGGTTTTGTTAACTACAATACTCGGGCAAAGGACCTACATATCACTGATGTTTATTAAGACTTAGTTTTTTAATGCCCCTCCAAACATATATTGTCCTACTTAACATTTTCTTGCCTGTTGGTGCATGCGTAGCATTTTTCTTGGGGACACTGTCACATCTATATTCGATAACAGCGACGTTTTGCTTGAAATTAGTTCCATTCATGATCACGAGCTTCCCTTTTTTTTCTTTCAAAAAGAATCACCGTCTCTATAAGTCTTCAGTGACAGCATACCCAAGAACAAACTACTGCAAGACTGGCTAAATTATCATTGAAAAACAATCGTTAAAGCAAACGTGTATTGCTAGTGCACATCTTCAAAATRCTATTCCAAAAATATTTGACCAATTTTTTGTTGCATTCAACCAATGCAACTTGGTCTTAACATAATCATTTAGCAATTTAAAACTCATTCTATTTATTTTCCTTAAAGAACACTGCAAAAAAGATGAAAATTACCATGATATTTAATTTATCAAGTTAAATTGCCCTAATTTTATCTTGTAAAACCAAATGTGTCGCGATCTGCCGCGATCCAAATTTCATCTACAGGGAAGGGTTTGTTGGGAGAGCAAAATCCGAAATCAAAATATTCATTCAGRGGCATTCAGGGAACTATGGTGCGTTGTCATGGAGATAAATGGCAATGTAAAAACTTTGGTATACACCAAATTCAAAAATTGTTGTCAGCTTGAAAAAGCTATATTATCAAAGCTAAGACCGAGGGTATTTCTGGGTAGTTGATATCCGGGGCATTCGGAGAGTGTTTGCATACAGACACTTGCATAAAGAGTGAGAAAAGGTTTTTTTCGGTAACTTGAATTTATGTGCAATAGCAGCAAAATTATTATCCCAATCCACTCTTTACCCAATAGACCTTTCGACCTCAGCTTCTATGATTTAATCTTTTTAACCCGACAAAAACTTTTGAATTTGGTGTACTGCACTTGGTGCTAGTTTTTATTATTTAATTGCTAATTATGCTAAATCAATTTGTCCAAAAGGAGAAACTGGAGAAACAGTGTTCATTACAGTATATTCTCTTAGCTTGCAAGTGCTTTTACTTCTTAGCGGTCCTTGCTGACTTGACCACTACCCTCTTGGTAGTCACCTCGGGTTCGTCGTCGTCATCATCACTAAATTCCAAGCCAGTTGATTCTTCCTTTGGAGTATCACTGCTAAAGAAATCTTGCAGAGATTTCTCAGTAGAACCGCTTACATCACCCCCTCCTGATCCTGCTCCCTTGGCTTCCGTCCTAGTAGTGTAGGATGTTCTAGAAGGTGAGCCACCACTAGAATCTGTTGCGATGTACTTTCGTCTTGTGACAGTCACTTGAGGGGAACTCATTGTGGTACTTACACTAGAGGACTGGATACTGGACATGGTCAATTGTCGTTGGAGATTATCCACTTGATAGCGGTAACTTTCACAGCGACTCTTGCAGTCCTTCAATTGGTTCAAAAGGTCCTCCACTTGGGCATCGGCTTTACTTCTGAGCATCGAGATCTGAGAAAGCTGGGATTCTTTACCACGGTTACAGTCTTCGAGAGCTGTTTCCACGCGACTCAGCCTGAAAAGTTGTGATTGATATTTATTAAATACTGACTAGCTAAATAGATAACTCATTAGAAATGGATTGTTTAGGGAACCAAATAGGACTGACGACATCCTTAAACAGGATAGTGGTGGTAGTAATGAGAATATCCTCAAAAGGCTATGATTCAGGCTTAACCTTGAAACATAACCCCAATTTCTTTGTCCCCCCCCCCCCCCCCCCCCCCCCCATCCTTTTCTCTCTTTTTCTCCAGCCTTTAAA